ACCAAAACGGTTCGTTTTGGTAACCAGCGTAATCGAGTGGATCACCAGTGTTCAGAGAATATTTTTAATTTAAAATATTCTCTGAAGTAAAGAATTTGACTTGTTTCTGATATATTAACCAGAGAGATGAACTTACATAGAACTATAAACAATATTGTTTTATTGGCATGTGTAAAAACACAATTACGGTATATGTTTTTAAATATGTGATTAAATTCGAACTAAGTGTTTACAGTTGGGCGATACATTATTATGGTCATATAAACGCATTTTGATAACATTTGCAAAACCACTTTCCACTCCAGGTAGCAGATAACTACTTTCAAAATTTGACTTGTCTGCCCTGTAGTCAATATGCGTGTCAGATCTCTGGAAATTGCTTCAGATACACCTTATTACTATGTCAACACACCCATCAAATATTTTATTTTGAAACCTTTTAAAATTATTTTTTATTAAGGTTGAAATTTGCACAGAGGCGGTATTTAGAAATTGCAAAATGTCGGGTTAGAAGTGGTGACAATTTGTTAAGGTCTCCCTTTTAGTGGATATTGTTTAACAGTTGATGTCGGCAGTTTTGATCTGTAAATAAACGCCAACAATCCCCATCAAAAGCTGAATATTTACTTTGCCCTTTTAGAGCTTGCTGTACTAAACTGAATTTGGGGTATCTGTTTAAGTCAATTTTTTAATTAAGTTTTTAAATAAACTGCTGTAAAACATACATCAAAATAGGCACAATAATACATTTGTTACTGTCAATAAATTTTATAATTCAGTTTGGATTATGTCCTAATATAAAGCTACAAAATTATATTTTTAATATAATTGATATAGTGCATCATTGACAAGCATTTCTATAGATCATATTGCTACAATTACCCTGTACATGAGTGACGTTATTATACGCGTGTGGCACATCGAGTGCTGCAATTTTCGTAACTTGGACACTTTTTAGCCCAAGTGGATATTTTTAATATATGCTGAAGAATCTCATTAACTCAATTGGAGACTCAGACATATAACTTTCGATTAATTTTGTTATCACCAGAAGTGCTGACATTGTTATTGTTATATCCAATATGATGTATTGGATGCACCGATTGAGTGCCTCTGCTCTAAAAGCGTTTTCCAAATAAATAAATAAAAATAAAATGAATTATGTATCCAACTTTTTAGTGGATGGCGTTGAGCGGTTGGCGTTAGTATCTGCATCAAATGGCAGGTAGTGAAATTTTACATGATTTTGCCCTTGATAGTGATAGTTACATTATCTGTTTAAGGCCAATTATGATTAATATATATGAGTTTTTAAATTATTAAGTACGGGCACACTTCTGAGTCCAAATGATTATCTTTAGTTGATGAAAGAAATTTTGGGAAAGTAGCGAATTGCTCTGTATGTTTGACTCTCCCCACTTCTGAGCAAAAACACACATCTCATTGGGCCAATACTGTCACATGTACAGATGCTCTGCTTGAAAGCTGATATTTAAAATGGACACTGGTTGCAAGGTTGCAAAATGACCACCGTTTTTCGTGTATATTTCAGTTGCAAGAAATAGAATTGTAATATTGATATGTTTAAATGCAAAAATGATAAAGGGTATTTGTTCAGTCGAAAATTCAGCCATCTTGAGAGAGGCAACAGGTTTTCTTGAAAGCATCATTAGCTTGATAGCATCATAATTTACTAGCATAATGATCAGGTATTCTAATTCACAGAACAGGCCCGTAGCCAGGATTTGCCAAGGGGGGTTCAGTTTTCAAAAATTTCCAGGGGGGGGTTCACATTTGACAATTTTGGCCCAAATATAGCTAAAATCACTTGAAAAGTGCTCAAAATGGTGAAAAACTGCATGATTTTGAAAGAATTTTTGGCCAGGGGGGGTTCGCCCGAACCCTGCGAACCCCCCCTGGCTACGGGCCTGCAGAATTTTATGCTTTGTTAAAGGTTTCCGTTCAGCGTCCTATTTAAAAATAATATGGAGGCTCCAGGTGAATCAACTGGATCAGTCCATTTTTAAAAATAAGGGGAGTTTTGTAAAATCCAATTTATTGAAATTGTCTTGGAGATAAGTAATCCTTTTATAATGATTCTGGAAACATTATTCTGAGACTGATTATTCAAAGAATGCATGTACAACAGCCAATATAAATCCTTGTATTAGAACTGCTTTGTTTCCTTTGGAGGACATTTCATATGCCAAGCTGTGTACTATAACGTTATGGGGAAATTTAGATGTTAATTTTTCCTTATTTAGTAAATAGAAGATCCTGACATTTCACCCATAAAATTGATTAGTCAAAATAAAAATCTCCCTTTTATAAATGTGTGACGATCTATGATATACTGTACTAATACTATGTAACAGTTAAAGGTGTTGACAAAATGACCTCGACCCTGTAAACCCTTGAGTATTGATCTGGGATCAGGCCTTTTATACTAAACAGTGAGCAACACCAGAAACGAGCATTTGATTTGCTAAATGCAATGTGTCACCTTTTAATAACCTAGTATTTATTTCATTATTTAAATCCCTCAAACGCACTGACAGCCGTGGGATTGGTTTTATGTCACCACCAGAAGTTTTGATATAGTGTTATGGCTTGTCTCCAACTTTTTACATTGGCCCATAATTCAGAATAATACCATAAACAATTTTAAGTCAGCACTTTAGTTGCATAACGGATATTTTTGCTGTTAAAAATCCATAACCTGTCCTGTTTGTGACGTCATGTTTTTCCCGGGAAATCTTATTTTGCAACTATTGCACAACGGGATGAGTTGAGAGTCTGTTTAATCTATTGTAGTGAGAAATAAACAGAAATTACTGAATTAGCACTTTAACTGAACGAACAAAAAGTCTAATGTCACACATCAATGTTGGTTCTATAGTAATCTGTGATGCATTAACATCTTACATAAACAACAAAAAACAAGCATTTAGTTTTGCTCATTGTCTTTCTCTGTGGTCTTATGAATTTTTCACTGGATTATTTTGTTAATTGGTGTTTTGCATGCTGCATCTGTAACAAATGGCAGGTAGTGACATTTTGCATGTTAGAACTATAATCAGCATCAGAATATGAACACAGTAGAACCTATAAATGTGAACACCTCCTAATTTGAACACTGTAAGCCGGTCCCAATGGCGTTTGGATAAGACAGGCTTTACTGTTTTTATTTTAGAGCTCACTACCTGTCCCTGTAGATGTCTAAGGTCAATAATAATTAAGTATATAGATAAATTGCTGTAAAACTGACATCAAAATAGGCACTATAATACATTTGTTACTGTAAATTAATTTTATAATTCAGTATGTATTATGTCCCAATATAATGCTACAAAATTATATTTTAATATAATTGATAAAAATTGATCAGATTGGAACATTTCTGTAGATTAAAAAGCTGCATCACATTATTTAGATCTCTCTCTCGCGTAAATGCAGCACTCGGCGCAGTGCTGCAATTTGTGTAACTTGGGCACCTTTTGGCCTAAGTGAGTAGTGTTTGTTTCAGGACTTCCATGATCCTTGTACTAGTAAGTCGATTGTGATTGTACTGGATTAACATATTTTATGGCAAACTCAATTGAATATGAATGGAATAGTGGTAGGCATTATTCATATTCAAATGAATTACCCATAAAATAGAAGGTTAATCTGGTAGCTGACGGACGTAATTTGCATTTGGGATTCAAGCTAAATTTGAGTTAAATACAATAGCACATTTTGACATTTAGGCCAAAACTTGTTAAAAGCAACCTTAACCTCAAATGGCATTTCTTATAAGCAACCTCAAATGCCTTTTTTCTGATAAAATTTTACAACAGCATCCATTTTATTATGATCACAGTTCTTGCATACAGGGTGACCCCATCACAGTTCATGCATACAGGGTGACCCCATCACAGTTCATGCATACAGGGTGACCCCATCACAGTTCATGCATACAGGGTGACCCCATCACTGTTCATGCATACAGGGTGACCCCATCACAGTTCATGCATACAGGGTGACCCCATCACAGTTCATGCATACAGGGTGACCCCATCACTGTTCATGCATACAGGGTGACCCCATCACAGTTCATGCATACAGGGTGACCCCATCACAGTTCATGCATACAGGGTGACCCCATCACAGTTCATGCATACAGGGTGACCCCAACAAGTCCTCAGTGCATACTAAATTATGTCAAATAGCTTCTTAAATATACTTGCTAAAGGCCATCCAACTGTCCTGCAATTTGTGTATTTGTCACGCATTTACTGAAAAAATTGATGTTACGCACATTTTTTTTATTGCGTGACAAATCTGCATTTTTTCTGATGGTCAAGCAAAATTATTTCTGGAGAAGAACATAAAAAAAACAAATGCCAAAAAACGAACACCAAGTTTGCTCAGAATTTTTAAGTGAATTACGTATATGTCAGGCATTTGCTTCAAACTTTCTTGTTCTTGTTTTCATGTTGCTATCGATTTCATTGTGATTGTAATTCTATTGCCTAGTCACAAAAGTTTTTCAACTATTGTAGTTTTGAACAATAATTGAATATTTTACAGTGCAGTAAAACCTCCCTCATCCAAGCCCACTGTGACTTGACAAAATTAAGTAATCAGATTTACAGGTATACACATTTCTAGGTTTCTTAATATGTGTTTCACTCAAGGAAGAATGGCTCCCAGTGTGCAACAACGATATTCTGTCCAATATATGGAAATATTGTGATTCAAACAGCCGCCATTTTGTTCACTTCAACATTTGAATCGTGAATTATGGTCTTATTCTTAAACGAAAGATTTCAGAATATAATGGCATTTTAACATTTTCATTGTTGAAAAATATTGATTGTTGATGCTGGGGCCAATCATCCTTGTGTTGCACTGGTAGATTGAAACCATGAAAAAGTGATCCCATTGAGAGATGTTCAGATTAGAGAGTAGGTTGATCCGATATTCAGTTTTAACTGTTTAACAAATTGCTGTTTCAGGAGGTGAAGATGATGCAGTAAATGACAATGATGGAGATGAAACTGAAATGCTGATGTTAAATGGAGAAGCCAACACTGAAGGAGAGGAGAGCGAAGACGATGTATTCAATGTGAGGACTGATAGGTAGCATTTATTGTTCAATGTAAGGACCGATATGAAGCATTTGTTCAATGTGAGGACCAATAGTAAGGATTTCCTGCTTTCAATGTGAGGACCGATAAGTCAATCATTTGTTCAATGTGAGGACCAATAGTAAGGATTTCCTGCATTAAATGTGAGGACCGATAGGTGGATCATTGTTCAGTGTGAGGGCCAACAAAGCAATACTTGGAGTGACTGTGATCACTAGCACTTAATCGACTGTTTCATTTGAGAATTATGCAGTATACATGTATATGAGTACTGAAGGAAATGCAGTTAAAATTCCTTGTGAACAGGCTCCACCAATGGTACAAGAATTGTAGTTTGATCGTTATTACGTTTTGTAAAAGTGCTACACTGTCACCATTTTTCGCTGGTAGGTGTGTCTGTACAGATGAGCACCACTTGAATCTTGCATCAACGTTTCAGAAATATTGCTTATATTCAACTTGAATTTTACAGGTGTAGCACTAAAGCCCTGATTAGGTGTTGGACATGCTATATGAATTACTTGGTGGCCATTTTCCCCTTCAAATCAGACATTTATCACTCATCCTCCAATCACAGGGCTTCAAAATCCAGAATACTTCTTTCTTCTCCGATTAAGAACTCGCAATTTGATTCGCTGTCGCAACATTGCGACAGCAATCATGTATGACGTCATCGGCGTATAATTAGATCACATGATTCAGTTTTATCGGGCGCTTCCAAATTGTTATAGCACGGGGAAAGAAGGAGATACAGATTCTGGACACCTGCTTAGGAGGATGTTATCACTGAGTGTGTACATATTTAGTGCTTCTTTACAAAAGAACTCCAATGACACACATTGAGATAATCCTCACAACTTGCTTTACACAATCAGAAAAGGTCAATCAAAGTACAGCTGGCTAATCAGCCTTGCAATGCGGTCACAAACTTTTATTTCATTTCCTTGCCTTAATCAGAGAGTAGTATAGCTTGTGTCCTCAAGGGTTGAACCTGTCTAATTGCACGGGTGTTAAGCCACGATGATACCATGAGCACATGCTTTGAGGATCCGCATTGTTTGAACCTACCACCCAGCTCACTTATTCATCAAGCCCCGTCACACAGTCATGATACTGCCGAGCAAGCTCATTGCATCATCGGGTCTGCTTTAACCCTGTGTAAGTGGATTTGAGAGCAACTTTAAAAGTCCCAATTTTAGTGTTACTGTAAACTGCTATATTAAGGGTGCTAATACAGTAAAACCTATAAGTGGAATACCTTTGGTCCCTTTAAAAAGTGTTCATCTTGGAAGGTGTTCCACTCATTTAACATTTAGTCAGGTGGTCTTGGGACTCTGCTAAGTGTTCCACTAACAGAGGTGTTCCACTTTACAGGTTTAATGTATGTTCTCTAAGGGGATTTAAAAATGAACCTCAAACACGGAGAAATGTTCAATTGATTAACCTTGTTGAATTTTCATTGTATGACATTACAGGTTTAATGTATGTTCTATAAGGGGATTTAAAAATGAACCTCAAACACGGAGAAATGTTCAATTGATTAACCTTGTTGAATTTTCATTGTATGACATTACAGGTTTAATGTATGTTCTATAAGGGGATTTAGAAATGAACCTCAAACACGGAGAAATGTTCAATTGATTAACCTTGTTGAATTTTCATTGTATGACATTACAAGTTTAATGTATGTTCTATAAGGGGATTTAAAAATGAACCTCAAACACGGAGAAATGTTCAATTGATTAACCTTGTTGAATTTTCATTGTATGACATTACAGGTTTAATGTATGTTCTATAAGGGGATTTAGAAATGAACCTCAAACACGGAGAAATGTTCAATTGATTAACCTTGTTGAATTTTCATTGTATGACATTACAGGTTTAATGTATGTTCTATAAGGGGATTTAGAAATGAACCTCAAACACGGAGAAATTTTCAATTGATTAACCTTGTTGAATTTTCATTGTATGATATAACAGGTTTAATGTATGTTCTTTTAGGGGATTTAAAAATGAACCTCAAACACGCAAAAATGTTAAGTTGATTAACTTTGTTGAATTTTCATTGTATGATATCACAGGTTTAATGTATGTTCTCTAAGGGGATTTATAAATGAACCTCAAACCCGGAGAAATGTTAAATTGATTAACCTTGTTGAATTTTCATGGTATGATAATACAGGTTTAATGTATGTTCTCTAAGGGGATTTATAAATGAACCTCAAACCCGGAGAAATGTTAAATTGATTAACCTTGTTGAATTTTCATGGTATGATAATTATAGGATATCCTATGATTTTGAGGAATATCATTTTTATCTACGAGGTGATATTGATATCTGCACGAGAGAGCAAAGCGAAGGAGTGCATATATCAATATAACCGAGTAGATTAAAATGATATTCTGAAAAAAATCATAGGATGTTCTTATTATCCTACACTTACAAGGAGTGTACTGAATGTATAATATCATTGTAAAATGAATTTCATGCCAAATAGAGTCCATTTGGCGGGAAATCAACAAGCGGAGTATATCGTCACAATATCCTCCGCATATTGGGTTTTCCGGAGTATATCGTCACGATATCCTCCGCCCGGAGTATATCGTTACGATATCCTCCGGATATACATTTCTTATTTTTTCATGTTATTATACATTTAGTACACTAAGTGTAGGATAATACAGGTTTAATGTATGTTCTCTAAGGGGATTTAAAAATGAACCTCAAACACGGAAAAATGTTAAATTGATTAACCTTGTTGAATTTTCATTGTATGATATAACTGGTTTAATGTATGTTCTTTATGGGGATTTAAAAATGAACCTCAAACACGGAGAAATGTTAAATTGATTAACCTTGTTGAATTTTCATGGTATGATAATACAGGTTTAATGTATGTTCTCTAAGAGGATTTAAAAATGAACCTCAAACACGGAGAAATGTTAAATTGATTAACCTTGTTGAATTTTCATTGTATGATATAACTGGTTTAATGTATGTTCTTTTAGGGGATTTAAAAATGAACCTCAAACACCGAGAAATGTTAAATTGATTAACCTTGTTGAATTTTCATTGTATGATATTAAATGTTATAATATATGAACTTGAAGTAAAAATGGTTAATGAAAAGAAACATGGAGAAATGCCTGTTTCACCTTCCCATGTAATGGAGGTACATTCACATATTACTATGCAAGGTGTTTCTGATTCCAGTCATATCACTGCATTTCATTGTATAATCAATAACCAACTTAAGGTCACTGGTTGAATGGTTGTCAAGGTGACAACTGGACTCTACTATTGAAATTGATACTTTGCCAACTTGTCCTTGACCCTTGTGTAAAAAATTGAAGCCCAAGACTCAATACATTCAGGAGTTGTTTCCTAATATCAACACGCAATGCTGCGGATCTTGTGCAAATTTTCAAACAAACACCTTCAAGGAATAGTCATTCCTTAATGCATTGAGTCCAGGGCTTAAATCCTTAATCTACATGGAGAAGCTTTAACCCTAATATCACACCAAACTAGTTCTCACTACGTTCTCGAAAACGGGCTTCAACTGTGTACGAACGGACTGGACCTACTAAGAACCATTTGGGATCTATTTACAAACTTCATCGAACGTACTCGAACGGGTAGGTCCTCTAGAACTTAGACAATGCTCAAAATGTTCTCGTGGTCGTCACGTTCTACAATTAGAACGAGTGACAACGTACTAACGACGAGCTGGACGTACTACGAACGGAACCGTCGTACTTCAATCCTACTAGGGACGTTTTAACAACGAGTTGAACTGTCTGAGGACGTGTTGAGAACGAGGTAGAACTAATTGCAAACGGGTTTAAACTGATTATGAATGTATTTAACACTGCTTATGAACGAGTTAGCAAAAATATAGCTATCACACCAAAAAAGTTGCCACTACGTTCTTCAAAACTGGTTTTAAACTGTGTGCGAACGGAATGAACGTAGCTGCAACTTTCTAAGGTCTATTTACGAACTTTATGAACGTTCTCAGACGGGAATGTGATTTTAGAATTTTGAATCGATTTAAAATTCGATGGCGACCATACCGTTCTGTAATCAGGTCATGTTGACCTTCTAGACTAAGGGACGCGTTCTACGACGTTGCACACCGACGTGGTACGACCTGAACGAACTGCGAACGAGATGGACGTATTGAAGACTGTTTATGAACGAAGAAGCTAATTATTTCAGATATATTTCCCGACCACAGCCAGACTGAGCCCGTTTTATGACGTTTTCATAGGACTGGCAAGAACGGGTAAGAACTAGTTTGGTGTGATAGGGGGGTAAGGTAGACCTTTATTCTACATGATAAGTATTTTACATGATTTTCATAATTTCAGTTTCCAAATATTAATGAACTCAGTAAATGTTTTCGAAATTGCATGAAAAAGAGAGAAATTGGCATAAAAAATGTGCAAAAGCCAGGAATCTTTAATATATGTAATAATATATATCCTAAACTGTACAATATATGAATTAAGTTGTAAATGTCTTCCATGTAAAAGATATACAGTAAAACCTGTCTAATCCATACACCGCTGGAACAAGCCAAAAGTGTTCAAATTAGCGGAAATCTTAACATTTAAGGTTTCTAATATGTGAATCAATCTGAAATAACATTGGAAATGAAAAAAAGTGTTCATATTGAGAGGTGTTCGGATTAGAGAGGTGTTTGGATATCCAGGTTTACTGCAATTGTCTTCCATGTTAATATGGTGCCTTCATAGCATACATTCCTTTAAAGGGGCAAGACGGCCTGTAGAGAGAAAATAGAAAAAATCTAACTTTTTCTGAGCTATCAAGGCAACATTTGGCTTCACATCTACTTTGACATACCTATTTTCTTAAAATGTATGGATAAACTATCAATTTCAGCATTAAGAAGTGTAAATTCAGTTCAAAGCTTCAAAAAGGGGAAATCCACTCTTATATTTTTAAGATCCACCATGTTTCAAGAGGAATATCAGCTGAAATAATGTTTATCTAGGGGGTTTCTTTGTAGATAATAAAAATAGATGTAAGTCTTGATGAAATCTCCAAACTTGAATATATTTTGACACTGTCCAATCAAAAATTGTCCTTGATTGGACAGTAACCAATTTTAAGGATACAAGAAAGATTGAAAATGCCATCAGCCATTCATTTATTTTACACTATTTTTCCAAAAAGGAAAACCTTTATACCTGAACACCTTTTTAAACAGAACACCTCTCAATATGAACACTTTCTCTCAGTGTTTCTCTCCAATTGACTGACTTGTTGAAGAAACCTTGCTATTTCAAACACATTTAGTGGTGTTCAAATTAGCAATTTTACTGAATTGCGAAAACTTTAAAGAATTACTTTAGCCCAACTTCAGATAAGATGACTGTGGGAACATTCACCAGATCTATTATAATGGCATTTTTAGGCAATCTTTTAACAAATTCTTATCTAAGTTAATTTTCCATATATCCACAAGCTCTGAGGGAGATCACTAGAATTCTTCAGGGATAATTCCTCAAATGTTTTGATAATTTAAAATGGCAAAGTTTGCAACATCACTTTGAGAGTGTTGCATTTAGTGCATTCTGATACTCACAGCATCTCTCTCTGTTGCATCTTAGATGTCCAGAATGATAGAGATGGAGAGGGTGTGGCTTACCACGATACATTTAGTGGTCCAAAAGTTGTAGATAGGCAAACTTGACACATTGAGGGTCTCAAATAATCATATCAACTCCCCACCAGTGTCCATAACCGTGACTCGATTTAAATAAATACATAAAGGACACATTTATTTGCTGACTCCGATCCTGGCTCAATTTTTTCATAATCGGGTCAACGCTGGTAGTTTTCTCCACAACTTGCATCACTAGTTCTATCAAGAGGGGGAGTTACCCCAGGGTTCAAAGGAGACATATGTCTATGATGTAAATCTGTATTGAGAAAATATTGTTGCTGATTGGTCAAATTGACAGACAAATGACGTCATTCAATGTGGTTTCAAAAATTTTTAAACCTGTTTTGAATTTACGATTACTCAAGTATATTAATTTCTTGTGTGTTACTTGATATCACAGCTTGTTATTTCACATCAAGATAAAAAATTGCATCTGTAAAACAATCAAAACTTGTGAACATGTTGCATTCCTGTATTATTGATTTTAGTGCAACTTCAAGAATTATAATATTATGTACAGGGTGTGCCAAAGTTTGGGTGAACAATATATACATGTACATTGTACAAGGTGGTCCCAAAGGGATTTAATGTTAAGGCTGTGATTATGTTATAAATACAAATGCATAAAATATATATTTATAACAAAATGTATAATTTATTTTAAGTAAAGGCCTATATTGAGAGTATACAAGTACACAGGACTGTATTCAAAATGTACATGTTCATATTAAGTCTTATAATATTTTAAGTGTACATGCACAAGTAAAGGTCTATATTTAAAATGTACATGTTCAAGCTAATGCCTTCATTTAAAGTTTGTATGTTCAATTTGAGGCCTCAATTGAAATGTACTTGTTCAACTAAGGCCAATATTTAAAGTGAACAATTTTGAGTAAAGGCAGATATTTGAAATACACATGTTCAAGGTAAGGCCTCTAACTACGGTGTACATGTTCAAGTTAAGGCCTTTAATCAAAATACACATGTTCAAGTGAAGGCCTATAATTAAAATACACATGTTCAAGGTAAGGCCTCTAACTACAGTGTACATGTTCAAGTTAAGGCCTTTAATCAAAATACACATGTTCAAGTTAAGGCCTATAATTAAAATACACATGTTCAAGGTAAGGCCTCTAACTACAGTGTAGATGTTGAAGTTATTTAGAATGTATGAGATCTGTTTAAACCAAATTTTCATGTAAAATGGTGGCCTTTAAAAAATAAGGGCTACCTCAATCATGGTGCAATAAAAAATTATAATTATGTAAATATAAATAATTACTTTTGTTGTTGAATATTACCATTTTTTTGGGGGGGGGGTGAAGTCAATATTTATGTAGTTTGATATGTTATTATTACATTTTGGACTCAGCCCCTCCCTTTCCTCAAAAATGAGTTCTAACTAGAATTAGCCCATGGATACAGTAAGCATTTAGGCTTTGAGACTGCTCATACTAGGCTACTACAGATTTCTCTTTTCATAACACAGCAAACATTGAAAACAATCAATTTATGCCACAAAGAAATACAATTCCAAATTATTATAGGAAGGGTGTGTAGGAGGCAATCATCCATTGATTGTAGTACCTAAAAAAGTAGTCTAATTGAACCATATTCATATTGCCTGATATTCCATAATTGCCATAGAATTTGCCTTGAATTTCATTGTTTTCAGCAATGATTTACAAGCTGTCATAGATAGAATTGAAAGATTACCACTCCCACCTTCTCTACATTTACATTGAATGAACTAAAATGAATCCGTTGTGAAAGAAATTATGGTCCCCCAGGGATTATGGCCCCCTTTCTTAACAGACCGGCCATGATTGTGTATAGGATAATAATGTAAAGAGGTCACCATATAAATCAATGAAGAGTAGGACCATAATTTGATAGGACCTTCTCCCCTTTTACACCGTCATATATCCCGGGGATTTCAATACTTTTCGTGCAGTGTAGACTAATACGTCACGCCCTCTATTTTGGCAGAAAAATTCAAAACAAAAAAATGGTGGAAGTCGAAACGAGTGTTCCTCCTTTACCGCCTCGGTATCGCTTCCGAGACCTGATATGGGGCGACCATGCCATGGTAGATGACGACAGGTAGGTCATATATCAGTTTTCTACATGATTTTATTGTATGTAGTTGTCCTGTCTCTCGATTTCTACATCTTTTTCAGTTTCACTTTTTCCTGGGTGATTTTAATTTTCCCCTCATTTTTGGAGAATGATTAGATCTATTTTTGATTAGGCAGGGTTTTAGATGAACCCAATTTCGGCAATATTATATATACAGGGGTTATAATCAACATCATCATGGAATCAGTATGATCGTGGCATTCAGCAGTTGACCCCACCATAGTCTAGATCAGATATTTACTCTAGCCTATACAGGCATATTGCCATTGATTAGATCAAGCTTCAGTGTAGTAATGATTATAAACAAAACTCTATTCTGACTATTGATCTCAGATATATCTTAGTTGCACACTAAGGCCAGTGCAATGATTAGACCATTCACCAATTAAAGAATAGAAATGTTAGACACACCCTAAGACACACCCCCTCCCTCACTCTTTGGCTTAACTGGCAACACATCGGGGGGGGGGGGTAGAGTGGGAGTTACTCACAAGAGCTTGTAGTTAGACTAATCATCAGTTTGGTACCTACAGTCAACTTGGGACCATCCAACATGAGTGACTTACAAATGTTGAACACCTACCTTCACATTTTTTTTTTGGGGGGGGGGGGGGGTAGGAGCCTAGGAATCAAGTAAACAGAAGAACAAATAAATGTACATGTATTAAATTGGGGTTGATACAATAATTTGTTAGACTAAAATTATTACAAAAGGAAGAAATTTTGAAAAAATCAATGACCGATACAAGACCTTGGTAGTCTTTATGTAGCTGCTGTCTGATATCTGAAGAATGAGCTAACATAATTCTACAGGGCAAGAATAACCAGAGTAAATTAATTTAGCCAAGTCAGATTTAGGTTTATTATCGGGAATTAACGTCTTACTCAACAAGTATAGATATAGGAGATATAGCACTTCATTTGAGCCAAATAATATGATACCTGATAGCCCCTTTACTGGTATTAAGGCGGTTCCCCACTTTTACAAAATGAATTGAAAAAAAATTGGGAAATGTGTTTAATTCCTTTCTAAAACCACAATATTTTTATTTGTATATCCCAACCAGTAGTTAGTATATTTTTGAACAGACATACATAGTTTAACCCTTTTTACTGAGTCTTGTGTCTTTTCCCCTGAGCTTTGTATTGTTCCATGTTAATGTCCATAGCCGTAGGCAGCGGGGGTTCGGTGGGTTCGAACGAACCCCCGGTCAGGATTTCCCAAAATATCATTTTGCGGAAAATGCATATTACCAGAAACATTAAATTACTGTGCTATTTGAAAACTGCATATGGGCAGTAAATAAATTGATATAAATATTTTGTTAAAAACATGTCATAGTGAAGTTACACTTCCCTCAAATCGTTTGGCAACCTTAGGCACGGGTGCGATTTAATTTTGACAAGACCCCAGAGCATGAGATTTTACATTTAGAAATAACAATAATTTCTAACAATAAACTTAAAGGCTGCTTCTTCTCGGACAAAATAACCCATCTTGGGCAATGTCTAAATCAGTGCTTTGTAGGAATTTTGTTTTAAGCCAGTTCTGGTCCAATACGAAGTTATTGAAGGTTATCGAAAACAATGCAGACGTTTTTACAACATTGACGAATAAATATCTGGAATAGTCGTAATATTGATGAAACACATGTTCTTTCAAATGTGTAGGCCTACATCATTCTCTGTTTTGTTTTATTTCAATTAAAATTTCAAATATTTCTTGGGACGTCCCTGGGGTTGGCAAGTCCCCGAAACCAATTGCGTTACATCGTTAAAAACGTTGCAAAATGAATTATTTAAAAGCGTAATCATTTATAAACACAAGCATTTGTTCAAATGTATTCATTCTTTCATTTGTTTAGAATTTATTTACCCATCACTTTTTCAAAGAAAAATCAATCATTGCAAATGATTTTGTTTTTTCAGATACACTCCACTCGTCTAAGAGATTGAATTCAAATTGTTATCGCTACAGTTTACTTGCTCTCCATTTTTATGTTAATGTCATGATATGTTTAGCGAATAAATTACATATAAACATTGAAAAATCACCACTGAGCTCTGGGGACGTCCAAAGAAATATTTTTAACTTTTTAAAACACCGAGACCCACTCATTTGAATAATAGATATTTTCATCATATTTCATTGCTTCAAGATAGTTAAGTAACCGCCTCAAGATGGTTAAGTAACCACCTCAAGATAGTTTAGTAACATCCACAAGATAGTTAAGTAACTGCCTCAAGATAGTTAAGTAACCGCCTCAAGATAGTTAAGTAACCGCCTCAAGATAGTAAAGTAACCACCGCAAGATAGTTAAGTAACCGCCTCAGGATAGTTAAGTTACCACCTCAAGATACTAAAGTAACCACCTCAAGATAGTTAAGTAACCACCTCAAGATAGTTAAGTAACCGCCTCATGAAAGTTAAGTAACCGCCTCAAGAGACATGCCTGATTTCTGGATGATGTCCTCAATCCATGCTCCGTGGTTAAGACTACTGCAACATGAATGTAGAAGTTGTTTACTGCTCTATCGTGCATATGTGCATATCTAGGGGTATTTTGTATTCCTAATGCATTTTCTTTATTCTTAAGAAAAAAAATTGTATGTTTTTTGAGCCATGAAATTTTTTCTCATTGTTTTGAAAATGTGACTTATGGATTCCCCATAGAATTCATGTTATAAAATCACGAATAGTGAAACATCTTTTTTATTTGTTGAACATATAAATACACAACAATAAAACATAAATAACAATTACTGAAAAGCTGAAAAATATCTGGATTTTCAGGCTTCTAAAGTCAGAACTGAAATACTGTTCATTCATTTGATCGCTCGGTATCTATTACTCATCATGAAAGATCACATGCTCCTAAAAGTTCCTTCTTAACATATTACTACATATATCACGTGTATTTGGAAAACACATGGTTGTGATGAATATCATGTTAATACACATTCGAGTATTTATTGAGCTATAAACAGGAGCTAATGAAAATGTTTTCTAATTATAGATTAATATTTTTATTAATAGCATGCTTGATTCACAAAATCATCAATAACCGTCATTGATGATCCCGTCGGAATAAAAGAATAATTGAGACATAGAAACTTGTAGGTATTGACAAACAGTTATAAATTGGATATTATTTTTAGTTTCTAGTGTACTGTTGCTATAGGAATAAAACAATGATTCATAATCAGTGCTATTGTTCTCAGGTGAAAGGGTATATTGTTGTGGTATCCATAGGTATCAATCCATCCATCCATCCATCCATCCATCCATCCATCCATCCATCCAGTGGTATCCATCTATATTTTTTCCTCCCCCATCAACAACTTATTATGCCTTACTTAAAGTGTGATCTCTACAAGATTTTTTCTAAAGTTTTCACAATTCAGACCAAAATTGGTCAAAATATGCCCATTTTCATGATTTTTCTCATTTTCAAGTGTGTGCGAATGGATTTTCAGGCGGGTGCTAGCTTATTTTCAAAATCTCAAGTAGGTGCTGCACCCATTTGCTATAATGCTGATGAGATCACTGCCTTAAAAATGATAAAGTCAGTCATTTATATCTCAATACTATTTTACATCTAAAAGGTTACAGCTAGCATTACCAGATGATATAAACTAATTCAACATCAACCCAACTTCAAGCTTCATCTTGGGAACCATAATAAGATTAAGCTGATCAAAATTAAAATATATTTGGGTAATACCCTATTGACTGTGTCTAAAAAATCAGCTTTTCCTACATTCTCTTTATTACAGCCTACATACCAGAGTTGAATGCAAAACCTGTGTATATCATGTATATTGAACATCGAAATATACCGAAAAAAGTTTAAAAAAATGTAATTTATACAGAAGTCGGTAGAGTATGTGCAGAGGAAGGATGTCTACTAGAGACAGGTGTTCACCAGAGACAGGTGTTCACTAGAGGCAGGTGTTCACTAGAGATAGGTGTTTACCAGAGACAGGTGTTCACTAGAGACATGTGTTTACTAGAGAGAGGTGTTCACTAGAGACAGATGTTTACTAGAGACAGGTGTTCACTAGAGACAGGTGTTCACTAGAGACAGGTGCTCACTAGAGACAGGTGTTCACTAGAGACAGGTGTTCACTAGAGACAGGTGCTCACTAGAGACGGGTGTTCACTAGAGAGAGGTGTTCACTAAGACAGGTTTTACAATCTTCTCTTTATAACAGCCTACATACCAGACATGAAGACAGTCAATATGGTACAACGAAAATGGGACTTCTGCGCATGTTAAAATTTTTCGTCAAAACTCAACTTTTGTTCAAGTTGATACGATTGTCTTTCGAACTAGAGACTTACCTCATTCGAAAGATCATAAAAGACTTTATCTATACTGAAAATCTTAGATCCAAACATAGTAGAATACGCCGTCAGTCCGCATTTGATTTTTTGAAGTGAGTTTCGTAGATCGTCAGATTTCTCCGACTGATATCGGGTTATCTCAAACTGGTTCGTTTATAAATACGAATTTCTTTACCGTTGTAAGGCGCATGCGCAAAATTGATTTATAGACCTTATTGGTAATGGTTTTTCTCCTGCGCATGCGTGAAGTCTGATGAACACTTATGACGAAGACCGGAGCAAACATTACTAGCTCTCGAACGAAATTCCAAGATTCAGGTCATTTCGCCGTGTTTGCTAAGCGTGTATACGTGAATGACAAGCTGTTTTGAGTAGATCGGGTACCTGTTTTAGACACAACATTGATTTAGCTTGACATTGATGTGCACATTGGCACTTTTGAGCATGTTAATACAAGTTTTTACACTCTTAGCACGAGACGGGTTTTCGAAAAATCTGTTATCTGATTCACTCGATTATCGTATGGATATGTATTTCTGCTGACATTTCAACACCACATCACATAGAATTACGATGCAGAATGATAATAAAACACAAAACAACTACTAAATTCCAC